TTCTAACCCATTTCTAATATTCTGTGTAGCCCACAAGCTGGCTTACCAGAGAGGATCTTAACCTGCGTCTGTCTGGAGCGGGAGAATCATGGCGACTCTTCCTCTAACCTTCTTTCTCCCAGAATTCTCTTCTGTATACTCCGCCTACCTAATTTTCTATCCAATAAAATGGGCCAAGGCAGTTTCTTTATTAGTAAGAAATCATTCCCACATCATNAATTTTCTGTCCTATGAGGGCCGAGGCAGTTTCTTTATTATTAACCAATGAAATCAACAGATAAGATACAAGACCCACCTCCATCACTTGGTTTTCTTGTTGCTCCTATAACCAATGTTGGCCATCAGGCTCTGGTCCTTGAATCTTCTCTGCACCCTGTTGTCAATACCTCTGGGTTTCCTCCAGTTTCGCTTAATCTTGACATATCGATCTGACTGGTGCTGGATGAACTTCTTGGTCCTCTTTTTTGATGATCTTGGGCTTCACCAGAGGCAAGAGGGCAGCCATGATGCCGCAAAGGAGATGGTAGCCACCTCGCAGGTAGCGCCGAGGAAGAAGGAGAGAAAAAAGGATTTAAAAGAGTCACGTGGCAACAGAGCAGAAACTAGGGTAATGTTGCACACTCACCAGCCAAGGATATGCCAGGAGCCACTGAGACCAGAAAAGGCAGAAGGGAGCCTTCCCTGGAGCCTGTGAGTGCAGCCACATGCCTAGACTTCTGGCCCATGCAAGCATTCCTGACTATGTTGTTTTGTGTCAAAAGAGCGCGATTCCCCAGTTGCTTCCAAGAGTGTCAGCTCTGTGATGGCTCTCCCCATGCTCGACTCCATTGCTCATGGAGAAGCTGAGCCCCCACCCTGCCCCCCGGGTAGGTATGGGGGTTGCAGAAGCCAGATTCAACAGTGGCATGAGCTTGTGCAGGAGACACAGCTCACCATGTAGCTTTCCATAGAAGTGAGGGCAGGGAGAGCTGTGACCAGTGCTGTGTGGGCCGCTGGTTTCCATGGGCAGTGGAAGGAAGAGACTTTCTCACCAGCAGACCTTGGAAAACCACCAGAGCCTCATCCATCCTTTGGGTTGCAGATGGGGACTTACAGAGCAGATAAATACGTTGTCAAGGAGATGAGCAGGCCAGACCAGCTTATGCCCTAGAAGGAGACATGGAGAGATGAGGTACCAGAGGGGAGTCCTGGGGAGGCCTGCTAAGGACATAGCTGGAGCCATCTTTGAGCAGTCACCGATCAGGTTGGCCCTGGACAATAAAGAATGATGTACCAAGCAGAATGGGCCATATGTGCAAAGGCCCTGTGCAGATAATTGGCTAGTGTCAGTGACATTCTTTTTTATCTTTTTATTTTTGGTTTTTTGAGACAGGGTCTCTCTTTGTGGTCCTGGAGCTCACTATGCAGATCAGTCTGGACTCAAACTCACAGAGATCGCCCTGCCTCTGCCTCTTGATGTTCTGGAGGCCACAATGACTGGATAGATAACAGGAAGGCCTGGGAGGCGGGTCCCCAGGGAGGAACAGGGTTTCTGATTTGTTTCTTAGCAGCGGAAAATGCCCTAGAAAGGAGGCCCTTCACTGCCTGCTGGAAGTCTCTCAGGACTACCTTTGTAGAGGTGAACAGTATCTCTGAGGAGTTTGAGCTCCCTGTAACAGCTCCTCCAGGCTAGGGGACCTTCCTGGAGAGGTGTGCGACACTTGGTAAGCAATGCCTGACAGGCATGGGCAGGGGAGTGGGGTCAGGAATGCCACGTGTTAGTCATCCTTCATAGAGAACGTCTTGTTCTCCCCAAGCCCCAAGTGTTTCCTGTCTCCTAACCCTGGGGCATATATATGGTAGACATTTACAAATATTTGTTATTTGACTGTCTATTCTGCTGGTATTTTAGAGGCTAGTGACCACAAGGTAGGTGAGGAGAGAGGGGAACGGGAATAGGGGTGTGTAAGCATGCAGGCGCTATAAGACAGATGAGATGGGCCTCAGAGGGAGGCCAAGCAGCTCACAAATCCAAGCACAGCCAGGATTGCCACGGCTCTGCCCCAGAAAGAACCTTTCTTTGGGGGGAAGGGCTTGAGACAGGGTTTTCCGTAACCAAGGCTGACCTTAAGTTCAACCTTAATTACTTCCTGTGGCTGTGATAAGACACCGTGATCAAGGCAACCTCTAGAAGACAGAATTCATCTGGGGTTTATGGTTCTGGAGGCTTGGAGTCCCTGGTGATGGAGCAGAGGTAGCACCATACAGGTAACTGGAGCAGCAGCTCAGAGTTCATATTCTGAACTGCAAACAGGAAATTGCAAAGCACAAAAGATAGCAGGAGGCTTTCCAAACCCTGAAGCCCACCCCGTGACAGGCCACACCTCCTCCAACAAGGCCACACCTCCTCTACAAGGCCACACCTCTGATCTCTTCCCAAACAGTTCCACCAACTGGGAACCAGGCACTCAAACACATGAGTCTGTGAGAACGTTCCTTTCCCTGCCTCCGTCTCCTAGGTGTTGGTGTGCATCTCTACACCCAGCTTCTCATTGTTGTTGAGACAGAGTCTAACTCTATAGCCCAGGCTAGCCTGAAACTAACTATCCAGCCTAAGATAACCTGGGGCGATGTTCCTGTCTTAGTCTTGTAAGTGCTGAGATTACGGAACCTACCAGTCCCTCCCTCTACTCCAGGTAGGGGGTTGAGTTCAGCACCTGTGCTCTATCCCTGAGCTCTGTCCTCAGCTCTTCTTTTCTCTTTTAGACTCATGAACCTTTTTCCTGGAGACCTTGCTGGCCTCCTTCAAAGGCCTCAGAGCTCCCACCACCCAGTGTGTCCTACTTTAGTTTATGACAAACCTCCCTGAGCAAAAGGAACCTAGGGGAGAAAGGGTTTATTTCTGCTCACAGTTCCAGGCTGTAGTCCATCCTTGCAGGGAAGTCAAGAAGAGAGGACACGAAACCAACCGTCACATCCCATCCACACGCAACTTCGTGTGTGCCTGGGCTCAGTGTATCTTTTCCTCAAGCCCAGGGAATGGCACTACCCACAGTGGGCAGATCTTCCCACGCCAATTAATGTAATCAGTACAGTCTCCCAACAGTCATGCCCATTAGCCAACCTGATCCAGATGGCCCCTCACTGAAACTTCCTTCCCTGATGATGCTGGACTTTGTCAAGTTGACAATTAAAACTGACCGCCATAACACAACCTCCTGTCAACTCGATACACAAACATACCGTATTACGTTAAGCCATAACTTCCCACCTCTTGTCCTTAACCGTCTCATGTTTTTTCCCTTATAATGTAAAATATCATCATTCAACCTTTAAGTCCAAATAGTAACAATTCCAGCTTTTTGAAAGTCCAAAGATTCTTCACTGTGAGCTCTTATAATCTTAATCAGATTGTATACTTCAACCATATAATAATGGCATAGAGAAAAATATCCTTATTCCAAAAGGGAAGTGTGGTGGTTTGAATAAGAATGACTCCCATGGGCTCATAGATTTGAATGTTTGGTCAACAGGGGGTGGCACTATTCTCTCTCTCTCCCTCCCTCTTTCCCTCCCTCCCTCCTGCAGATCTAGATGTAGAACTCTCAGCTACTTCTCCAAGCCATTTCTACTTGTGTGCCACCATGCTTCCCACCATGATGATAAATGGACTAAACCTCTGAAACTGTAAGTCAGCCTCAATTAAATGCTTTCTTTATAAGAGTTGTGGTCATGGCGTCTCTTCACAGCAATAGAACAGTGACCAAGACAGGAAGTATTAACATTAAAAGTAGCAGTGAACAATCACATTAAAGTAAAACCAATGCTCAACAAGGAAACACTGACTCTTGCAGCTCCATATCCAGCGTCTTGGGATGGTAAGAAAACAAAAGTCCTCTGGGCCGCAGAAGACTTGGATGGCCACACCCCAGCTCTAACACTGCACACACAACTTCTCTTGCAGGTGCTGGTCACCTGTACTCTACACCTGCAGTTTCTAGCAGGCATCTCAGAATCCTGGCAAAGCCAGTGTCTTGGGATGTCTCCATCACAACTGAAGCTTTACCTTCACAGCTTCACCAAATGGCTTCTTAGGGCCTCTTTGCAAGGACTCCCATCCTACCAGAAGGTACGTGGCCTTGGATGAGCTCCACAAAATCTCCTCAATCTTCTATCTTTGCCTTTAAAACCAGCAGCACGTGGACAATGCCTATGGCATTGACAAAGTCTACTGACAGCTTGAGATTTATCCCTGTCCCCTTGAACCACAGCCGAGTCACCTTCTGTGGGATGACCCTGAGAAAATATCTTCCCATTGTCTCAGCAAAGTGTGGGAGCTCCTTTACAATAGTGCTGAGCTTTCCACCAATCACTGCTGCCTCTTCAACACCACCCCAAACGCCATCCTACCTTGAAATTTCCCCTGGTAAACAAATTAGTTGATTATCTTCAAACTTAACCCTGCTGAGGCTCTCATGACACATAAAAAAACGCAGCTAGATTCTTGGCCGAAATGTCACGCGCATGCCTCCTCGCCTTCTTCCCCCGTAAAGTCCTTGTTCCCTCTGACACTTGATGAGCTGGCCTTCCATTGTTCTGTTTTTTTCAGTGTTCTTCTAAGCTCCCACATGGACACCCTATGAAGGTCTGTCTGCTCACGACATGCAGCAGACTCTAGCCCAGAGTTCCAGACTCTCCCACTCCTCCCTCCCCCCCAAGTTCCAAGAGCTTAAAAAAATCCACGTGGCTGGGTTTGTCGTTTCTGCCACTGTTAAAAAGCCCCAGTCAAGAGCAGCTTAAGAAAGGGTTGGGTTTTAGCTCATAGTTCCTGGCCCAGCCACCATTATGGAGAAATCAAGGTGCCATCCACGCACCAGAGCCGAGAGAAATGGAGGGAGTGTATGCCCCTCTCAGCTCACTGTTTCCCTTTGTAGACAGTCCAGGACTGAAACTCAGGAAATTGCACCACCCATAGTGGGCGGGTCTTCTCATCTAAATGTGCACAATCCAGACGACCCCCCCCCACATACACAAGCCCATTGGCCATGCTGATCTAGTCGGTCCATCACTGAGACTCTTCTTCCAGCTAGATTGTGTCAAGCTGACAAACTGAAACTAGCCATCACATAGCGGAACCGGCCGAGGTAAGTCCCAAACCCCTGGAAGTGTGCCCAAAGCTAGTGGTACAAAGGCCCTCCTTCATGGCTCGGAATATGCAGAGTTTCAGCTTTCTTCTCAGAAGGGAAAGTTCCCTGCAGGTCCTGCCCGCCAGTGCACACATGTGGGATTGATTTGCTAGCCTGCTTGTTGGCCAGCGTTCCTCCGCTTACTGCACATTCTTTCCTCTTCTCCAAGTGAAACAGTCACAGGGTGGTCTCCCAGGACACTTTCTCCAAACTTGGACTGGGTGGAACCTGATGCTGTGAAAATGCCAGAAGTCCTATCACTTTGGAGGTCCCCACCTCTCTCCCCTGCACAGCGTCCCGGGGCGGGGGGAGGGGTAGGCGCCGTGTGTTTACGGAGTCTTCTCTGCTGTCACCACCTTTCTGGGTGAGGAACAGTGCCGCTACCTTTTAGTGAGTTTCATTGGGTCAGGAGTTCCAGGGATGTGCTCCCCACAGTGTGGTGCGGAGGTATGGTACTTCCAACCTTGAGAGAACAAGGATTTATCAGGTTCAGGAAGCTGCCAGCAATAAGACACTCAGTTGTCAGCTGACTGCTTTTGCCTCCAGGTTATATCTGCAACACCTGGAGCCTTTGGGGCTACACAGTGTGGGGGCCATGCTGTGGGGCTCCAATAGTCAAGGGATGGGATACTTTTGTGATCTGAAGATCCACCAGCACCTGACATGGGCCAACTGGAATAGAGAGATGCTCTTCTGGCCTGCCTATTCCCCAAGCATCCCTCACTGAATTCCCTTGGGCTCTACAAATGGCCACACCTGGGGCACAGACTGACCAGAGAAGTTCTGGGAAAAGGGCTTTCTCAGAGTCATTATCTGCCTTGCATCGCTCCTTCCTCATCTTTACCACCTCTTTTATTCCTCCACGTGTAGCCTGGGGTACCTTAAAAACAAAAACGAGTGGAGAGAGATTACATGGTATTCCTGCCATCATTCCAGTAGAGGAGAGAGAGGAGTCATTTGGCAATTCATCAATCACAGACAAAATACATATCAAAATGGGTAGAGAGGAGCAAGGAAGAGAGGAGGGGGAAAGGAGGGAAGGGGGACAGAGAGTCTTCATTGCTGGCCCTTCATGTGTGGCTCACATAGGTCTAGATGCTCTGTAGAAACTTCTGGAGAGAGGCTGTGCAGTCTTTCCCTTTGGAGCAGCAATGTGGGCAACTGATCACGGGGATGCAAGAAGGAGGCCACCCAGCAGGTGGGAACTGCCAGTCAAACCCTGAAAAGAAAGTCTGCCCCAGATCTTTCTCTAACACGGGTAGCTTGGAAGGCTCACGTTCCTGCTTCTGCCCACCTCAGCGCTGTGAGCATTTCAAAACCACAGGCTGAGGCCCATGAGGTGGCACAGTGGATGAAGGCTTTTGCTGCCAAGCCCAGCAACCTGAGTTTGATGCCTGGTACCAACATGGTGGAAGGCCAGAACTAACCACACAGTTGCCCTCTGATCTCTATACCGGTGGGAACTGGTACTACCCATGCAAGTCCTTTTCCAACAGTATTACTGGCCCCTCACCTTTGTCATTCGCCAGTTTTTTTTTTTTAATACCCTTCCTCTTTCCTGGCCCCTCTCCCTGCAACACTCAGTCCCTGAACAGTTTCTTGGTCTCTGCTGCACCACCACCTCCTCCAGAGGCCGTTTCTGAGCATCCTTCTGCCATGTCTACTGTGTGCTGGGAGACAAGGACCTTGTGCCTTGCTGGCTATGTTTCCCCAGCAGCCACTCAGCCAGTGTCTCCGTGCTTTGACTCCCTACCTTTATGGGCTGTTATGTACGACCACTGTGGGTTAGATGAGTAGGTTCTCCCAAATGACATCTTTGAAAAGAGAACGAGTGACCTCAGGACATCCACAAGAAATCTCTGATGCTACTTCTTCACCTGCAAAGTGGGAAAGAGGGTCCCCAGAGATGATTCCTGAGGGGTGTAGAGCACAGTTATAAAGACAACACCCAAGATGGGGAGGCACAGTTGGACAGCTGCCTGCAAACTCGTGTTGTGAGCCTAGCCTTTAACGGCTGAGCCATCCCTCCAGGCCATCGTGTGCTCTTCTATGAACCAAGAGCCCGGGATGTTTCTTTCCTACCAACTTCTACCATTACCCATTTGTCTGAAAATACCAAAGAACTGTGGCCAAGGAGACCCTGTGAACAGTTCCAAGCTGCATCCTTGGCCCCCACTGCCCCGATCCTGTAAAGGAGGCCTGCTGGGGCTTCCTTCTTCGAAACTAAAGTATCCCTGGTTCTGCAACCGTCGACATATGTCTAACACTCTGCTGCCAGGGCCCAAGGGAGCCAGATGGGGAACATCAGCCTGGTAGCCTCCAGGGAAGTGATGATGACCTTCCATCTCTCCCTTGGGTAATGCCAGCCATCAGTAGTTCAACTTCGCTCAGAAGAAGTGTCTCTTTACACTCCTTTCTGGGTGGTTGTGGGCTTGGCTTCCAAGTGACAAAGGATCTGATCGTGTTCATGATTCTTCCTACACCAGATTTTCCTAATCCCTCAGAAGTCCCCAGAACTAAGGCGCATCAACTTGCATTGCCTCATCTGACAGGAGAAGCCCCTAACATCATGGCACCCTGTGTCCTGAGCCCACCTGTCTCCTCCACATGCTAGCTCATGCGGCCACTCTGTGATGTGACAACTGCCTGCTCCACGCTCCCACCCCCACTGCTCTCCTAACAATCTGGGTCCCTGGAGCTATCAGGTAAGCCAATCATGTCAGATGTGGCGCCCACACTGGCCTCCTGTGACACTCGGTTGGAGGTGGCTTTATCCCCACAGCGAGGACAGCTTTTATCTCTTAGGAGGCTCAGCCATCCGTTGACTATTCATTTATTCCTTCATTCTCTCAACAAATATTTACCCAACCCTTGCTCCGAGTGAGGACAGAACAAAAATGAATTACGCACACACAATCTCACAGCTCTCCATGGTGCCAGAGAGGAGATAAGAAAATCTGTGCTAGCAACTCATTGTGGGGCGCTCTGTTCCTCCTAGCAGCTGGGGTCTGCTGCTAACAATGCCCTGCTCTTCCCTGGGAAAGTGCTCCTGTCTCCTGTTCTCAGCTGGTGTGGTGTGTCAGGAAGGGGGTGGGGGGGCAGTGCTAGATGGTTTGTTATCCCATAAACTAAGCAAGGCCAAGGAAGGCTCAGTGACCTGGCTGTGGCCTGTGTGTGATGCGGGGAGGTGATCTGATTTCATTTTGGTACCTTTGTAGGGATGGCCCATGAATCTAGTAAGGACAGAAGTTACCAATGCAACTTGCCAAGGAATTCTTCCATCTGCCGTTGACCTGAGAAGGTGTCCTAGGGGAACAGCTTCCTGTCTGGACAGAACCAGAGAGAAGAGAGTACAGCCAGTATCCACATGTGACCAAAGGTTACCTACTGATCAGCTGTCCAGTGTTAGGTAGAGAGATGTTGTGTTTCCATTAGGCTCAAGTTCTCCCATGGAGTGTGCCATTCCTTCACCCCTTGCACCCCACACTTTTGAACTACATCTAAGTCTAAGTGATTTTACCCTTAAGTGTAAAAGTAACACCAATTAGTTAGCTGGATGTAGCCCTTAGGAGGGACAAAGCAGGAGGATTATGACTTTGGAGCTAGCCTGGGCTACATTGAAAGAGCTTGACAAAAAAAAAAAGTAATAATATTAAGAGAGAGAAAAAAAGAAGAGATCAGCTGGTCAGATAGCTAAGCGGTGAGACACTGAAGGCCTTCACAAGGACAAGGGAAGATAATAAGAAAATAATTCTCTGAGATGCGCTCAGGGCTACTCTTAGCTTCCAAAAACTCGACTTCCAGTTCACACTGTTCCGAAGCCACTGTGTGACATAAGCAAATGGCTTCTTCTCCTTAGACCACACAACCGCTAGGTGTTTATCCTCTAAATGTGTTTGTTCTGTGTATTAGCTACATTTCTCAGTGCTGGGACAACATGCTGGACCGAGGCAACTTAAAAGAGGGAAGGTCTCATTTGGAGTCAGCCCTCACGCTGACAGCCCATCATGGTAAGATCACAAGGCAGCCAGTCAAATGGCATTCAAATCCAAGATGCAGGGAACGGTAAATGTTGGCACGCAGCTCAGTTTCTCCTCCTTTCCCAGTCTAGGACTGCAGCCTAGGGGATGGTGCCGCCTACTCTCAGGATGCGTTTTTCCTCCTCACTTACCCAGTTTAGAAACGACCTCTAACATCTATCTGGTGGTGAGTCTCTTAGAAGATTCTAGATTCTACTAAGCGGACAGTCAAATTAGTGAAAGAGAAGCACCCCAGCCAGGAGACTTGACCAGGAACTAGCGTCGGCAGGCTGGTGACCTGGGAAGATGCTGCCTGCTAAGGGGCTCCACACCCTAAAACGATTGCACTGCTGTTCCCAACACAACTACTTAACACTGTTTCTCCCCTATTTTCCCCTTTGATTCCAAGCAGAGGAGGGCAGGACCCTGCATTAAATAAACAGCCTGGGTGCTGCTGTGACACCCAGTCTGGGGGCCAGCCTATGGGATGGTGCCACCCACCTTCTGGAGGTCTTCACTTCTCGCTTATACAGTTTAGAAACTACTAGGAAAACGGCATGGAAAGCTACACAAATGACCCAGATCCACACGGTGCTTTTGTCAGAGCTTTTTGTCTAGAAAGAGCTGCTTTGAGGGAGGAAGTCTGTGCCCCATGGAAAGATGGGGTTCTGAAGAGGCGGACAAGGAGCCAGGCCTCCTAACAGAAGTGGGCAGGAAGGTCTGTGGTTCAAGCCCAGACAGACATCAGCACATTCAGTTCCCGCCATCTCTGTGTATTACATGCAGATAAGAGAAAGACAGAGGCATAGAGGCCATTTTACTCTCACTCTTCAAAAAATCTGTGTGGCTTTTCTGGCCCATTTTGAAAGATGCCTTCCCTCAGGCATGCTCTCAGAGTAAGATCCAAACTCCCGCCTGTGGCTTCCAAGCTCAACAAAACTGGAGCCAGCTTCATGTTCCCCAGTTCCCTTGCCGCTTTCCCTCCTTCCGTCTGCTCCAGCCTGCTTGGCTCCTTCCTGTTCCTCGAAGACATCCTGCTTATGCCACGACACAGTCTCGCCCTCAAAGTGGCCTCTGCACAGTCCCACCTCGCTTCCCTCGGGACCGTGTGCGCAGAAAGGTCTCCTGAACTACAGAGGTTCCACGAGGACACTGGCTTTCTATTGGCAGTTGTCTCTCTCAAAGTCCTCACTGTTTGCTTTCTGGTTTCTCAGAAACCTCAGAAAAAAATTATCGTAAGACAGGACTGCTCTGGTCTTGTTCTTCACCTATGAGTTGGAAATGGGGCCAGGGCCACAATGGACATGTCTGCCAGGGAAGCAGAATTAAGAGTTATGTGCTAGGGTTTATAGAGACGGGCTGGCCGGTCCTGGAAGTCGGCAGGGAGTCTGTTTAAGGATGTGTCTCTGAACTTCTGTGGATGTCTGAGGCCCGTAGGACAGGCCCCTGGGAGGAAGGAGGAGAAGCATGGAGAGGAACAGCCTGGATAGAGTCCCAGGACAAGAGTGATCATTGTCTCTCACTGTGGGGCTGAGGGGCTAAGGAGTAGCTCTTGGCTGGGAGTCAGTTTACAGGTAAGGGTGCAGGTGTTGTTGGGGTGCACATTGCATACTTCTCGGTTACAAAAATGGTCACCACTTCCCCTTCCTCCCACATCTCACAGGAGTGTCCCCGGTGGCATGTTGAACTATAAACATACCAGGAAGAGAATTCCAAGAACTGCAGGCGCAGCAGCCAAGGGAACCCATTCCCCAGTGTTCATCACAGGTCTGCAGCAGCCTTGACTGATGGAGTGCAAAGCAGCTCTGGGCTCCTCTGGGACTCCCAGAGACAGGTACCTTGGCCTCTGAGTGGTCTAGTTTCTGCTGTCACCGCCAGGCCCCACCTCCAACATCTGCAGGCCTGTGAGACTGTCCCTTCTGTCCAGAGCCCGAGGCTCAGGCACCTTTCAGATTCCAGCTTCACATAACACCTGTTTGGAGTCAGTTCACTTCAAGGCTGAGTCGAGCTGGTGTCTGCACGTACTTCTCTGCACCCTTCTCTGGGAGGACTATTATCCTACTTGGACACCCCCACAGTGAAAATATATATGTACTTTTTATTTTCTCACATGAAATTCTATGTAGTAGGTTTTTTAAAATTTCTTTTTATTAAAAAAAATTTTTTTTTACATGTATTTGCTTAGGAGGGGCACACGTGGAGGCCAGAGGTCAACAGCCAGGATGAGTGCTGGGAATTGAACGCAAGTCCTCAGGCTTGTGCCACGGGGCCTGCATTCCTGAGCCGTCCCACCTGTTTCCCTCTCTTAGTACCGTATCTGAGAGATCTTTCCAGATAGAAAGACACAGAGCCACCTTATTCTAATGGCGGCATGGGGATCTACAGTGAACGATCTTGGGTAACTCATCTTGTTGCTTTTTACTGGACACTAGGAAGTCTCAGTTTCAGCAACAGGTCCTTCTCACACATCCTGGCTTGTCTCTTTTCACTTTCTGTGCACTTCTGGTGTGCCACAGGATTCAATAGAAACATCCCCTCCTCCAGGAAGCCCACCTAAAGCATTAAATGTTAAGTTTTGATATGGTTTGGCCCTTTGTCCCTCACAGGCCTATAAATCAAAATCTTGGTCTGCATTAAGATGGTGCACTCTCCTGGAGGGTGGCCTGGTCAAAGTGGGGTCACTGAAGATATGTTCTTATATGGGGTATTGAGGTTCAGTCCTTCCTCTTGCTCTGTCAGTGGTCTCTCCAGCACACTCCCCGCCATGATGTCCCGCTTCGACACAGGCCTTGAAACAACAGTGCCAAGTGACCATGTACTGACATCCCTGAAACTGTGATGGAATAAACATTTCTTCCCTCTGTGTTGATTGTTTCCAGCAATGGGTGACTCACACAGGCTGGCCTCTCTCCTTTGGCTTCCAGGTACACACTGCATACCTGCTGTGAGGCACTGTTATATTAGCAAATGTCTATTTACCCCAGATAGGGAGCCCACAACAGACCAAATAAAGAGACTGCTAAAGCCCTTCTTGGAGAACTAATGGATGTTATTGGGTTACTTACAGAAGTACGCATGAGGAGTGATTTATAGCTGCATCGCCAAAGGCCACCCCAGCATGGATGACAGCTCATGAAAGCTGGGACCCTGGAACTTACTGCACAGTCTGCAGGCACAGGCAGCTCAGCTGGCCTCAACTTCTTGCATGCAGCCTGACCCATCTAAGTCTCACCCAGGCATCTCATCTAGCCAGTTTCAGGAACTTCCTGAAACTGTTCAGTTGTCTATTTCCTGTGTCCCTAGGAACTTCCCTATGGGATGGGATGATTCACCTTTCCTTGGAACATCTTGAACCTTAGTGAGTTACCTCCACCTTAAGAGATTGGCGTGTCTGTCCTTCCTGTGTCCTGGCACTGCTTACCTTCGTCAACACGCAGTAGGAGCTCAATGGCTTCGCTAGTTCAGTGAACAGCCGATTTCACGGACTGACTCCCAGGGCCTCCCCGGGCTGCCTCGCTCATTTTGTGCATCTAACGTCAGTTTCCAGACTTGTCACTACTCTACCATTGACCGGAGCTTCGCCACTGTCAGGGCTGGCATCCCTCTCCCCATCACTGGCACTCGGGTTTTCCCCACCTGCTCTGTCAAGAAAACTTTCGCTGAAACGCATCTCGTCTCCTCCCCACTGCCACCGCCTGTGTAGTCGCTTCGGCATATTTTGCCAAGCTCCATTGCCCGCTAATTGTTTCCCGTCTGTTGGCTTTGTGTCCCCTGGCTAGACTGTGTGTTCTCAGAGAGTGTAACTGCTTCTGCGACACTATAGAATCCCCCACAATACAGTGCTTATGGAAGCTGCTCCATAGTTCAATAGAGCAATTGGTGCCCTCATTGATTGGGTGAGATTCCAATACTGATCGCTGGATGTTGCGATCACAGGAAGCACAGAAAATGACAGCGCCGTTGTCGCAGCAGCGGGTCCAAGTCACATGGAGAGTACCATGAAGGCCCTTCCAAACACCCCACACGTTCAGTCCCTCATACTCTAGACACCAGGGTCATGGCTGACAGCCTTCCTTTCAGAAGACACACCCAGTATGTGCCTTCTGTTCCCAGATCCTGCAGTCACCCACCCCAGGAGGAGGAGACACAGGGTACCAGCGTGGATGTGATAAACTTTATTCAGAACCTGGAGTCTAGATATTTATTCAGACATAATTTGATATGAGTCCTGCTCCTTTAGCTTTATTTCCATCAAAAGGCAGTGGATTCTTCACCTCAGCCTGGTAGTACAGCGATGCCATAGCTGATATGGCCAAAGGGAACACTGAGCTTGGTTTAGAACTGAACATGGAGAGCAGAGAGAAAGATGGAGCCAGTGATATGTGTTTATTTCAGACAGCCCAACCGAGAGGTGAACATTGATTCAGACTGCGGGCTGCAGATGAGTCATCCACTCTGAAGGAGGAGATGTACCAGTCGAAGACACAAAATCACCGCCCAGGTTCATATATCTTCTCATTAACACACAGTTCCCTGTGGCTTAGAGATGCTGCCTGCTGACAGGTAGAAAGCCCTCAGAGGAAACATGGCTCGGGGGCAAGCCAA